GTGCTGTCTTGACGTTCAAATGAACAGTTATAATTTCCGAATTTATAAAAGAAAACCCCCGAAATGATTAATTTGCACTCTCTAAAATTATAACTTCTCACTGAAACGTCCAAACAGCACGATTCTTTTTCTCATGCAAAGAGTAGGTCATAAAACTCATGTGCTGGCAATTTAGGACATTTCTGCAGCGTTTCAGAGTTTTGGCGACCTAATTTGACATGGTCAAAGCTCAAGTGGTCTTCTTCTTCCATATCTTTACATTAAAAGCATAGTTGAAGCTCACTGGGACACATCTACGAAGAAAAAGACTTCTTTTCCAAAACTGAAATTAGAGAGAAGCAAATCCGTCAAGATAGCAAAAAATTACAAAATTTCATAAATGAAACGACAAAACTTTCCGGGCAACCTAATAATATTTTTCTAGCGCTTCAAGATAGCAGCGATTATAGAGCACTTATACAGTGGATACTTTCAGATTAAAAAAACCTATCACAATTGGTTGCTTTATTTAAGGCTAGGAAGAAACAATTCATTTTACCATAGTTGCTCTGATATTATTCACATTTTATTCTTTTCTCCAATAAAAATAACTCCTCGTACAGAAATGTTCCGCAGATAGGGGAAGCGGATTTGGAATCAGCGTCTTATGCTCTTTATCATGATAATATCCTAACTGAAAAGGTCACTTTAACTAAACATGGTTCCTTTGTTAGGCGAAAGCTCGAGAATAATCTCTTAGAATGCTTTTGCGTTTTGAAGCAACATTGATGCACAGAAAAGGTGTAAGCTGTAAAACTGTGATGGCACATGATCTTTACACGGCATTATTTGGAACATGATTTAAAAGCTGACGCTTGAAGGTTGACAAGGTTAATTCTCTCACGTGCGCCAGCCGTGAGTGGTTGGCATTGCAACTCTTTCTCACCTTCCGCTTTTCTCAACCGTTGTGTTTCTTTTTATCATCCACACTCTTATTTCTTCGTTTTTGTCGGGTGTTAAGAATTCGAGGTGTTGAAAACAGAACTGTTTATTTTTCAATTCTTTTCCATTACTGTTCCATTTCCACCGAACTTGGTCCAAATTCAAGTCACCAGTTTTTTTTAACTCTAGCGAAACAGTCCATCTTCGCTGAATCTAATCAAATCTGATTTTTTGTTCTCTCCTTCTCCTGAGCTTTTCTGTCTTTCCGTTTCGCTGCCCTGATTCGGTATCATAATCGATAATTTTGCTTCAAGCCCTCCTTATCTACCCTATCTCCAAGCTATACCTGCAAAAAATACAAAATCACAACGCAAAAGTAGAGGAACTGATCAAGCAGGTCCTCAGATTAAACAGGTTAATTTGATCAACTTTCTGGCTCACCACACAACGGCCACCGTTGTGATTCCGGTCATGAATCAATCCTACAGCTTTTCAAGAGACTGTTGGACCTGAACATACCGGAGGTGCGCGACATTACTGATGAGATTCTGTTGCGCTTGGGTTAGCTTGGTGAGGGGGCGTTTGAGAAGGATGCTAGACAAAGAGATATAGTCATGGCAGGTCCGCCTGAACTTGTTGAAAAAAGGAACAGACAGATCCTTTGGCTTGTGAACCCAAAATGATAGCGAACAGAAAGTTCGTAAAATACTAGACACGCTAGATATTGAGTGTAAACCTGTAAAGGTCTCCGGATAGACAAAAGAGTGACTAACAGGCCACGTCTAGTGAAGGTTAGAATACCAACAAGAAGTTACTGAACGTCCCTTTCACGGGCCCGATTGCTCCGAAACTCTCCAATTTTGATAAAGTCCCAATCACCAAACTGTTCTTCCGGATGGAAAAAAGAGTGACTAACAGGCCACGTCTTGTAAAGGTTGAATTACCAACAAGAAGTTATAAGCCAAACTGTTATCTAAGCTTAGAATGGCAGGAGTAGAGGATACAAAGTGCAGATGGATAGAGAACTTTTTGAGCAACTTTACCTTTCAAGTTCGTGCCGATACGGAATTTTCAAAAGCCTATCCTATACCATCTCTAGCGGAGTACTGCAGGGTGGAGTTCTCTCTCCTATACTCTTTCTTCTTTACATTTTTGACTTGCCCAATATCATTGAATCTCAGCAAGATATCAAATGCGTGATGTATGCAGATGATATCAAATTGTTCAAGGCTATTCGTGATCAAAATGATATGAAACTCCTACAATCCTGCCTTGAAGCTGTTAATCAGTGGTCATTTGAATTTGAATTGCCTCTATCCCCTCAAAAAACTCATGCAATTTCTTTGGGTGTCAAAAAGGTTGAGTCATTTTATACCCCAAATGGAAACAGTTTGACTCAGATTACGGAAGTAAAAGATTTAGGTTTTACATTTTCCGAAAAGCTTCAATTTACATCTAACTACAACAGCACTGTCTCTAAAGCCCTTTCCCGAACTTACAATCTATTCAAGGCCCTCAGAACCACAAACGCTGAAGTCTTGATCAATGCCTACAAGATGTACATTCGCCCTATTGTTGAATTTGGTCTACAGTTACTTCTCCATATAAGATTCGAGACATTGCTAATATGGAGAGAGTGCACAACAACTTTACCAGAAAGTTATTTCTGAGACTTTCAGGTCCCAACTGCTCTCTTATACCTAGAAGCGATGAACGTAATAAAGTGTTGTCTCTTCCTAGTTTAGCCCTCAGAAGGAAAAAATTTGACCTTTCCATGGCTATCGAAATGTTAACAGGAAGATGCAAAATTGATTTTTCAAAATTCTCCAACGTTTACAAATCTAAAACTAGAAGAGGTTCACTAGAACTAAGAGCTCCCATGACAAAATCGCTTGTCAGGTCCCATTTTTTCACCATGAGGATAATTTCCGATTTTAACAGACTGGCACAAGATGTTCTTCAAAAGACATTAGCTAAATTTTTAACTACAAATCGTTCTATTTTCTAATCGTGAAACCATTTCATTGTCTTGTGCTATAATTGTTATTGTATGTATATCCTTTGCTGATGTCTTTTTCATGCACTGATACTGTGGTTTTTACCATTGCAAGACTCTCCTTTTACTAATTCTATTCACGTATTTTTGCACGTATCAATAAATAAACAAATAAATAAATTTTCAAGGGAGTGTATACTAGAAGGAGCATGACGGCTCGGGAAAGGGAACATGAGCGTGGTCTTCCAAACAGTCTAGGAAAATGGATCAGAAAAGGATTTTTGACTACCGTTTCGTGGTTTATAAATCAGAGATGGTCCCAGTGAGCTCACTTTCGCATGGAAAAGCTACTCCTTTAGAAACCTCACCTAATTTACACCGCCAACTTATACAACTTGCCAGGGAAACTGAGTTGCTGACGAGGAGACTCTCTCAAGTGCTATCTACTGAGTGCAAAATCATAACAAGGCAAACAGAGTCAAAATTCATCCTTCATATCTGGAAAATGGTTTACTCTTCGCATAGGGCGATAAAGCCCAAAAGCTGTAATCTAGGATGCCATTGCGCATTCTCTTCTACTAAGCCGTTGCTATGTAAGCGTTTCTAGAACTCTGAAGAAGTTCACACGTTGACGACAATGTGCGTTTTAGTTGTCTGCCTTTTGGGACAATGCCTTCCACAAATAAGTCGAAATTTTTTTAGCTAAAACCATGCAAAGTTTCAACTACAGTTTACCTAGTTGTTTATGGTTGTGTCATTCTAGGTTGCCTCATGATTAATGCACATTCTTTGAATTTCAATCTCTGATCAAGGTAATTCTTTTTCAAAACCATGTTTTTGAGCGCAATAAAAATCACTGCATAAAGCAGACCTCTAACTATACAACGCATGCTTTTGTAGTATCGTAGCTATTCTGTAAAAGATTTTCAAGCCCGCTAAATTTCCAAACATTTTTCTAGAAACTGCACTTTGAGAGAGCTAAATGCTTTTAAACTTTGCTTATTATATAGCCAATGGTCGGTTCTCAAGTGAAGCTTGGACTTCACGGCATTATTCGGCAAAAAATTTTGCAAAAAAATAAAAGTAGGTACTTTTTTCAGCGTTTTAAAAATTCCTGTATTCTTTTTTTTGGGATTTTTTGATTTTTTCCCCTCGAATAGACGAGGAAATGGTGCCGTTTTCCTGGCACTAGTTGTACTAGGTCTACTCTAGATGTAAAAGCGTCTGGTCTGAAATTTTTACGCAGCATAGATGGGCCTCCGACCAGCCAAGTTTGAGACAAGCATTCTAAGCTCACAATTTCTCAAAAATGCAATGTTGACAAGCTTTTTGTGGAATAAAGCTTTTGCAGTCGTTATGCATAATTTTTGAAGAATATTTGTCCACTTTTCATGGAATTAGAGAAAGGAGAATAAAAAAAAGATTTTTGTCTTTTTCAATGGCCTCTGAAGGCACAAAACTCTGGTCTGAACGAAAATTTGCGGAAACGAAAGCACATGGTAGATACTAGAAGAATCGGGCTTTCAGGCACTATAAAGGGTTCTGGAGAAAAATGGTATTTCTTTAAGAATCAGCTTTTTCAAAAAAAAGGTTAGAACAACTTGCATCAATTATGAGACAACCTAATATGAAGCAGGCGAAAAACGCAAGAGCAATTCCATGGCTAAAGCATAAGAGAACTTCCGAAACGAATGTATTTTGAAACAGCAGCCTTTATCAAAATTTAAGCAATGACCCACCATCTGGGCCACTTGTCTCGTGGCAGACATTGCATGGTCCAACATGTGGTCTCGTTGTCGTCAATGTGTTAAGATTTATGAGATAGTTCTAGAAAAAATCTATCTTTCAAATTGCTGACTATGATTTTGCGCATTATTCATGCAAGGTGGTAGAAGACTGTAGAATTCTCTGTTATTTTTTCGAATTAACTTCACTCAATGGCAAAGCCGTTGTAAACATGCAAATGCAGAACTTTTGTCCAACCGGTAAAAAATGAATTATTTTCCGTTTTAACTTCACTGAAGACGGCGAGATCGCTTCCAATAGATTCGTTTTGATTTTGCCATTTCACTCATTTTTACAGGATGGTTTCGAGAATGTGGCATCATTCCCCATACTAAAGATATAGATTTCGCAGCTTTCATCGAAGAGTACGAGCCAGGAGTACTGGAGGAGTTGCGAGGCAACAAAGAGTTCTTTCTCTATCGAGTTCTTGGAAAAGTGTGCTGTATCGTAAACGTATGCCCCTGAAGACAAATTTTGCAGCCAAATGATTCTTTTGAATTCACATTTGAACCATTGGATCGTGGAAAACCTCGAATGGACCTGTTTTGGTTATACACTTCTAGAAATGAATCTTGGAAAGGAGAGCTCGGACCAGACGGAACAAAATATAAATATACTTATCCTAGGTTATTGGCCATTGTGAATTCGTTGATAAGTTCAAGTCACACTGTTTTCAAGGATCAGCAAGATATGCGCATGTGATTTACTCGGGCATCTTTTCTGGGTTCCTTGCGATCCTAAAGCAGTTCTAACAGTAAGTTATTTTCTTTCTAACGCCAGTTGCTCTGTTTGGTGTAGGACAACAATACTTGAAGCACGATACCACTAGAAATACAGTAGTAAACTTAGTAGTAAGTGTAGTCTGCACTTTGGATGATCGCTTTTTCCTTCTAGCAAAAAAATGCTATAATTTCATCGACTGGGAAGAAACAAGTTCGATATTAAAAAGGTTTGACCTTCACTAGTCTGTTAAGAGCTCATGAAGCGTTGAGATTCAACCTGTAACGTTGCGAACATCAGTCTTAAGACAAAAAGCTGGCGAATCAAATCAAGATGGGTGCCATAATATATACTTAGATACTTAGATGGCCCATCTTCACGTGGCATGCGAGCCTCAGCACGAAAGTTTCCATCAATCTGTCCCTCGCTTCAGACATCAACGATCTGCCTGATTGTCTTGGTGGCTGCATTCACGAGTTCCAGAGGCAAAAGTCGTATCCAACTGATTTCTCAGCTGGTCCATCCGTTCCACGAACACATCGCACATCTCGTTGGTGGCATCCTCGGGAACGTTTGGCTTCGTGAGGAATCCACTTTCCATGTTCCTAATATCCATCTGTCGTCTATACTTCTCATGATGTGACCGGCCCATCGATGTTTTGCTTTCTCAACGTATTCCGCTAGGTCATGAAGACGGGGGACATTCTTCTCATACCCGCACTGCAAAGTCCTACTAGATGGTGCTTGTGTCGGGTCATCTTCAAAAGACTGCTCTCGACGCCCTGTGGGTGGTCCGTAAAGCTTTCGAGGTGGCTACAGCGTCAGTTCAAGTCTCAGCTGCGTAACAGAGCGCCGGGGAAACGGTTGAGTCGAACAGGTGGGCACGAAGCTCCGGTTCCGTCAGTTGGACAGTGGCTTCCTTCAGAGGCCCGAAGGCGGCCCAAGTTGTTCTTCTTCTCCTGTTAAGTTCTCTCCTCAAATCGTTCTCCATGTTCATCGAAAGTCCGAGATATACATGCAAGAATAAGTCTCCATGATAGGGGTGCCTTCCAGTTCCATTTCTGCATCTTGGCAAAGGGCGTTCTTCATAAACTGAGTTTTCATCCGATTTATTCGCAGTCCGATCTTCTCCCCTACTTCGTTTAGTTCCTTTAGCATCGTCTCTGCTTCGATGATACTGCTCGAGAAGGGAATGAATTTCCATGCAACTCATTCCCTTGCGAAATCCAGCTTGTTTTAGGGTTGGGCTTCATCCAGTGTCCTTATGCGAGCAAGAATAACCTTCGTAAAGAGTTTGTAGAGCACACTCAGCAGGCACATTGGACGATAGTCCGAAAGATCCTCACATTCACCCTTCTTGAAGAGAAGGACGGTTCTTGATGTTTTCCATCTTCTCCTTCTGAACGTAAGATGTTAAATACGACGCTAGAACCTCGTGTAGATGGTGTCCTCCGGCTCGCACAGATACAAGGGAAAGATAATCTGGGGAGCCAAGGATGTCTTCATGGTCTGAATCGCCGTGCGCACTTCAGCAGGTAAAATTCGTGGTGGTACTTCTCCAGTGGGAAGAAGGGGCATCGGCACGGATGTTGATAAGCTGAAGAGGTTGGTGTAGAAGTTCTTCGCGATAGATTTCATCTTATATCGGAAAGAAATCGTAGACCCGTCTTTGTTCAAAAGTGCAGCCTCCAACTTTCGTAATGGAACCTTTTCACCACGAATGATGAGGAGGTCCCATCACTCATCTGTCACACGTCCTTCTTCCTGGACTTCGTTTACTGCAGAGCGATAATGTGGTATTTGATGTACTCTGCAGCATCTAGAAAAGGTGGAGGTTTGTGGAAACTGTCCGCGTTGTAGCTGCAGGGTACGAGGTAGCCTCCATGGCGTGTCGTCCGGGCAGACTTGTCGTTTTTGTCCTATCCGGAAGGCGCCCTGAGTATCCTGGCATCGTTCTTGCTACCATCCGGCGCCGTAGGCGGGATCCGATGTGCAGGGTTTATTTCTCTTCTTTTTGCTGAACGAGTAATGAAAATTTTTCCCCTACAGGAGCAGACTCACTAGGCCAACTCTTGATTTCCACGGGGCGATCGCTGACAAGGGTGTGGAACGGGGGGGGGGACCGCCTAACGACTATAGGAAGTCAGACGGCGGGGGCTCTGCCCTGGCCGGCTCTTAGCTAGGAATCCGGCATCCGATCGAAACGAAAACGTCGAACTCCTTCACAGCTTGGGAGGCCCTATCGCATACACTCAGCTGTGCATAGCAACTCGATATCAAGTGTCACCCCCACGCCACGTTGAGGCTGCCGACCATTATGGGGGGGGGCACAATATATTACGTTGAAAACTAATTTTTGCTTTTTTTCAATAACCTTCCCCTCTTTGAGTATGACGCACTCAATTGTCGTTATGTAGGTATGGCGCAAGCTACAAGCGCAAATGATGTACTGCCAATCTGACATCGCTGTTAGGGTTACACTGGGTATATGGTATATTTGACCACTCGGCGTAAGGCTTTATCCAAGGTGCTGATTACGAAAATGGTACTGAAATTGTTGGCGGTAGCTTCTTTGCTGGATTGCTGTAAGTTCACGGTACGGATCCTCACCCTAAACAAAAAAAAAGAGGCGTTAGTTTAGCAAATGAGTATGATATTCGTGTTTGGAAGCTCAGATAATCCCAGTATGCGTCTCAGAAAATGGTTCCGACCCCTTCATCACTAACGGTCATCTTTAGCAGCCAGCTCCTAACTCGCGGAAAAAAACGCTAGGCGATGGATTTCCGCCGCGGCAGATAAATCAACAAAAAATCGTCGAAAGCTTGTAGAATCTTTGAAACTGAATCTTTCAGACTGGGTTTTTTGCAAATCTTATAAGATTTTTGGAAAGTTCACAAAAAAGCGATTCTGAAAACGAAAAAATCTTCTCAAAACACATTTCCTCAACTGCTTCAGTGGTATGGCGACGGAATGATCTGCGACGAAAATGTCGCAGGTTCATAACTCTATTAAAAATTACTTTTTTCAAATTTTAGTTTCATATTCGGAATGCTACTGGAATGATGGCTAAAAAATGTAAATTTGTTTGAGAAAAACTTTTCCTGAATCGTTTTAGAGAGTTCGCGACGGAATGATTGTTTGCGAAATCGTCGCAAAGAAATAACTTTTTCTAGATCAAAGTTGATAAAATTTGATTTCACTACCACCATGACTACCAACCACTGATTCCAGCAATATAATGAATTTACAAAATAAACTACACAAACCAATTTGCCAAAAGTTGACGGTTACGCCGCGACAGATACGTCACACCGTCATAGCTCTGCTTATAGACAGAAATTTCATAACTTTAAATTAAATATGGTAAACTTGAGCATCACTGACAACTTTGCACAAGGATTTCCTTTTTTCCCCAATTTTTGCATGAAAATAGTCACCAAAAATATTTGCGAAATTAAGTGAAAGCTGCGAAGCTTGAGAAGCAGTAAAGGAATTCACTACCTAGAGACCTCCTAATCATTCTCTAATTATGAATTTACCAGGAAGTCCTTCACAAGTTTTAGAAGAAAACAGCTGTCTGTGAATTTTATCGATGGAGATATGGATCTCTGAACTGAGGTTGGCGGCCTGAAATTGCAAATTGGGACCTTGATCAGAGGAGCGTAAGACAAGGAACTAATATTCCAGACTTATGAAAGACCTGAACAGTGATAGAACAGGCCACAGCGAAAAGAATATCATTGAGCAATGAGTTCTTGTTAAGAGAAGTCAGTGGAAAAATTTGGTCGAAATTGTCGAATTTCAACTGAAAATTCCAAGTTGTTTTCAAAATGCTTGAATGCTCATAAATTTGTTATTTTTTGAACCACGACGAGATGAGCATTCTAAAAATGTAAGTATCTGTTTAGTAAATGAACAAATAAAAACCTCTCACAAATTACATTTTATATTTTAAGAGAGTTGAGTGCAGGCTGCACCTAAAATGTACAGTTGTTTTCAATACGTATTGGTTTTTTCTACCGTATGCCTCCCAGCTTCAACATGACGTGGATTAGTGTGGATTGGTGTGGATTGGTGCGGCGCCGCCGAGAAAAGCAACGCGGCGCAAACCCGAAGCGATGCGGCGCCTCACCAATCCATACCAATCCACACCAATCCACACCAATCCACACCAATCCACGTCATGTTGAGGCTGGAAGGCATACGGTAGAAAAAACCAATACATATTGAAAACGACTGTACATTTTTCCCTTTTTCGGGAAATCTATAGATTTCATATGTGCATTTGAAGAAATTAGACATGGAAATGTTGAAATTGGAAAGAAGGCTGATTATATGAGTTTCTGACAGTATTTCGACCTCTATTAATCGAGCCAACTAACCTGAGGTCAAGACTGGTGTTCGCGCCTTCTACGATGCCGCGGCAGGGGCATTTTCACACCTCAGACTTAACATCTGCGTGATAAGATAGTATACATTTCTTTCTCTCTTGCATTTCTCCCTCTTATCATTGTTTTATGAAATGTTTCTTGATGAAACAGGCTCCCTCAGCCAAAATTCAAATTTATGATTTTGATTTTTGATTTAATTTAGAATTCGAATTGAACTATTTCGAATCGAAGAGGCAAGGGAAATCCCCGTAAGTTTCTTGTAAGGAAGGAAATCCAAATTTATGATTGTGTTGTGTTTGATCTAGGATTCGATCACAACGATTTCCAAGAGTTCGAAGACAAGGGGAAAACTCCTTGAGTTTCTTGTAAGGAAAGAAATCCAAATTTATGATTTTGATTTTTAGGATTCGATCACGATTTTCAATAACGCCTCAGTAAATACTACGAAATCCCCGCGCACTCAGCCTGGAAAAGGCTAAAGAGGCTCTAAACAGCCGCGTTCGCGGATTACGGATGACGATGAAGGACCGCCAAACGCAGTCCAGTTCGTCTAGTGTGAGCAGAGCGAGGAATGATGACGATGTGTATTTTTTCGATGACGAAAATTAATCAGACGATTGTGTAAAAAATTATGAATGTATAAGAGAAAAAATTGATATGTTATGTTTTGTTTTGTTATTTGGATGTTTCCCCTTCCTATTTGAGTCTTTTTGATTGTTATAATTCTTGATTTTCCCGCTTTTGTATCATAAGCGATTTGACGACCTTCTTGACATCGCTCTTATAGTGTTACCGTTTGCCTGCCGAACCTTCCCTACACCCACTGCTACGTGTGTCGCGGGCCTACTCCAGTACCCTGTAACCGCCCAACTCTGTCAGTCTGTCACTCATCGCGCAGAAGGTCTTCCAGTGATAGCTTTCTCAGGTACCAAACTTGTGATTGGTGGACCTTCACGTCACTAACTGTTCCGATTTTAACTTTATCCACCGTAGTTCGGGTACGGTTTACTCATTTTCGTTGTTATTTGGGAATAGCTTGTCTGACCTGACATCTTTTTTGCATCACAAACTTTTGTCTCGGAGTTCTGCTCTCTCCCCCGAACTCAGTCAGGCAAATTTCTCTCATTACATCTATTCCCCGCATTATAATTGCTTAAGTGAATACTCTAGAGCACTTTTGCTACAAGCAGGGGGCATGGGACAGACTCCACCGAGCATCTGCACTGATATTCATACACGTTTTACAGGCTTAACCTCCTTTTACTCACGCTGGACTTGAGCTTTTGGGGATGTTTTGTTATTTTTTACTGTTCATGCTCTACGTATTTTGCTCTTTGTTCCAATTATGGCACGCTTTGTGCGTATTGAATAAATAAATAAATAAAATAAGCGCTCGAACTTTTTCAGACTACTAAAACTATTCAAAAATCGCTGAAATAGAGCTTGAAATAATATCAAAATCAAAATTTGGAACTCAAACTCGTATATACAATCTTATCAGTCAGATGTTAAGTCTGAGGTGTGAAAATGCCCCTGCCGCGGCATCGCAGAAGGTGCGAACGCCAGTCTTGACCTCAGGCTAATTGGCTCGATGAAAAGAGGCCGAAACACTGTCAGAAACTCAAATGATCAGCATCTTTTCCAATTTCAGCATTTCCATGTTTGATTTCTACAACTGCACAAATGAAATCTTCGGGTTTCCCGAAAAAGGGGAAAATGCACATTTTAGGGTAGGGCGTGCAGGAGTTCACAGCACCTTTCCTCGCATTAGCTTCGCACCAGCATTCGCACCAAGGAGGGTTCTGGCACCTCCAGGCCTCAGAGGTCAGGACCCACCCATTGCTCCTCCCATTTGCTGGTCTCATTGTGAGGCGTGCAAGCAGCGAGAACGTAGATTAGGTACAGTCGCTTCATTTCATATGATCATGTGTGTCTCTGCACACAGCGTCCAATTTTGGCGTCCTCATCCGGGATTTTGGCCGTGGCGCAGACACCCTCCAGGTGAGTGGTTTTTGATGTTTTTTCAATGTTTTCTCTCTATTTCAGGTACGAACTCTTCGAAATGATGCAAATGGGAACTACTCGAGTGGTTTAGTGCGTTTCTACGCATGATTCGAAGTGATTTGAAACGCGACTTCTACATGCCTATCAAAATCTTCTCTAAGGTGAGTTTTTATGATGTTTTATGTTTGAGTGTCTACTCTTTCTACAAAAGCGGCTATGAAACAGCGCTTTATCACAGTTTTTGTCGCCGTCCATATTTGTTTTTGCTTCTTAGGCTGCAGTAATCTCTTTTCCTTCTCCTAGTAAGTTTTTTTTCGTTTCCTTTTCTCGATATCGGTACATATGTGATGAAATGAGTAGTAGTTGCTTGCCGCTAGATGGATTTTGAGTGATTTTGCTGTAATGGCTATTTTCAGAAAACGTGGGAGTCGTCTCTCGGTGAGTGTTTCGTCTTTTTGATGTCTTACCTGTTTTACCCGCTGGCTTATATCAGCGGATCATCCTGTGTTGCCCTACAAGTGGCTGTTGACATGCCCATTATCCATTGCATGTTATTTGAGGCAGCATGCATTACTTCTAACTTACTTCGTGCATGGTTACTATTCGCTGCAGTCTTTGTCTTAACGCATGGTACTCATGTTGCTGAGTTGTGTGCCGACACATGACGGCCTTTCACTTCATTATGGAAAGTGAAGTACGTTATGTCAGCGCAAACACCGGCATCTAGTATTGTGTATCCGCAGTCATGCAGTCGCAGCGAGAGCATGCACATAAATGAAGGAATGTGTAAAATTGTTCCCTTATATCGTTTCAGTACAAATTCCATGCTGAGATGTTAGGACGTCTCTACGTTTATGGTAAGTCTCTCACAAAACTAAAACTTTCACGAGCAGATGTAAAACAGCTGAAACATGTACATACTCAACGTTTTCTTCTTGCCTTAAGAGTTCTACACCGAAGTAGTATATACGGCTATTGAGGCTACTTTCATCATAAAAGAAACAACCGAATCGTTCTACGGAAGTCAAAAGTCGCTTTATGAAGCATACGCATACGATAGGTATCAGCTGGGTAGAACGCAGCGGCTTCAAGGGCGAGATCTTGATGTAATATATGCCAAGCTGTATCAATGATGCTGTTACAAAACTTCTGAAACTATTGTCGGTCATGCATCAAAAGTTTCACAGCTGAGAAGCCTATAATTTAAGGCTTAATTGATATCGATCGATAGATCACGCGCGATCCCAACGCGATGCAAGCTGCAAGCGTCTTCTTTAAGTCCATGCTTGTTTATAGTTTTTTTTCTTTGTGTTAACGGCTCCTTGTCTCAGAAGTCTTCTTTGCCTCTATAAACAATCTACCTACAGTTTTATTCGTTTAGAAACTGCCCTGCTCAAAAGCTTCTAAAAGCCATGGATAACTTCAGTAATAGACAGGCAAGCAATTTTTATTCGTCTTCAAATTGTAGGCTATAGCTGTTCTTACGCTGCTACAACTGTTTCTAGTGACTTTTGGGTCATAATGTCTAAACTCTACAGTTTCGAAGTATCTCAGTGATTCGCATAGGATGGTTGAACCACGTTATTTAGTTTGCACGCGATGTCACTAACGCGGAGGCGAAAGCTGTTGTGCTGAGATACTTGGAAGAGTATAAGGTTGGCATGTGGAGTTCAAGATCAGATCTAGAGTTCTTGCCGACGTGATTTACAACTTTATAGAGGAGATTTGTAGAACCAGCCGAACCAGCAGCTAGCACTTCACACCATCCGGAACAAGAGTCTTCGCACTCGGTTCGTTCCCTCGTAAAACTTTAGCTTGAAAAGATAAATGATGCGCGCGAAAGTCCTTAAAAGTTCACTTTAGGCACCTGATGAACCAAGAAGCCGTTTCAAGTCACTCACTTTTGATATGTTTCGAAATGCAGATCATCCATCCGTGCCAGTAGGTTCTACCGCAGAAGTAAGCCGCAGAAAATTGGACAGTCAGGCGAAGGAGATAATAGGACGAGTGAGAACATTCTTCATCGAGTTGAAGCGACAGCTAGGAGAAGAATCCACTGGTACCATCTTTAACTCGCCAGCTCAGCTTACAGCTTTGGCTTGCGGAATCTCGATTCGCACAGTGTGGAAAGTCACAAGAGAGGACAGTATAAGCGAGCCAGAAAGAACTACGCAACGAAGAGGCAGCAAGAAGGAGCTGATGGAAGCAGCCGTTAGGAAGTATGGAGAGCAGTGGGGCCAGATCGTACGACATGCCATCCATGGAAAGTTACGAGAAGAAAAAGATGTGACTATTGAGGAGATGCGAAAAGAACTTCAAGAAGCCTATCCGTCCTTCAAAATGTGCACTGGGACATTCTATTATTTCGTCAAAGGCTTAGGCTTTTCGTATAGAATAAACAGAAACCAACCTATTATTTACGAACGTCCCGATCTGGTCCACAAGAGAGCGGTGTACCTCTCAGCTATGGAAGCGGCAAGAAATCAACAGAGTTGTCTCGTCTTTATGGACGAGACATGGGTATTTGATTCAATGACGAGAAAGAGGGGATGGAATGACAACACCATCCCCCTTTTTGCCCCTGAGTCGACACTGCGTGAATTCTCCTGCGGTAGAACTGCGGCAAAGAATAAGGGTAGACGTGCCATAGTCATAGGGGCCATAACGGAAGAGGGAGCCGTCCCGGAATCTACTAAAGTCATCATCAGTGGAGTCAGGGATGTGGATGACGATTACCACCGGGACATGGATGCTGTGTTGTTTGAGAATTGGCTACGAGACACCATACCCCACATGCAAATGGTCGCCGGTGGTCGTCCCATCGCACTCATAATGGATAACGCTCCATACCATAGCCGACAAAAAGAGAAGGTGCATGCACGAGAAGTGCCTGATTACACACAGATTCAATCCGTTTAGGTCCCTACTCGTGCTTCAAGAAAATCAGAGATTGAAGAATATCTCACGAAGAATGGCGTAGCAGTCCCGGCAAAGAGCACGAAAGAGCAGCTTTTAGTTGAGGTAGTTCTGCTCCAACAATTCTTGACTCCCATGATGCGTCTTTGTTCCAGCTTCAAGATTTCATACAAAGCCGCGGCGGCGTAAGTGCTGTGCGCACTTACGTCGCTGATTCCATCTGCGGCGAACATGGGATTACAGTGATAAGGCTTCCGCCTTATCACTGTTTCTTTAATCCCATCGAATTATGTTGGAGTCAACTAAAAGCTCACCTTTGCAAAGTGGGAAAACCAGGAGACACGTTGGAGCTGGTAGGACCTACTAACTGTCATCTTTTGTTGGAGGTAGAATATTTAGGTGAGGACAAGAACGATAGAGTGGATGAATGGCTTCCCTTCGACACTGAGCAGCGGCTGGTTTCGGCACGTTGCTGGCCAGGAGGACGCAGCGAGATCAAAGATCGCTGTGGATCTAGTCAGCAACAACATTAACAGAGACCTTCCGCCGTTGGACGAGTCTTCCTCCGATGAGGAAGTCTCACAATTAGTTGAGATAGATGACGTAATGGAAGATCTCACAGAGTTTATCGAATGATGTATATACATAGATGTAACCTGTATTTAACACATTTTCACATCCATAGCCCCTTAGTTGTTCCTAGAATTTCTTTTGTTTCACTTTCATATTACTACCACGATACACTCAACCTCATCTAACATATCCTTTTTACGTGTCTCATATGATTGCTCACATTCCGTCTGTACCTTTAACACATGACAACTTGCATTTCAAAAAGTGTTTTCAAGAATTTTTTGTCTTTCAGTAAGCTCTCACTTGCTTTCTCACATTTCAATAAAAATGATGGTGCTACAAATCTTGTTTTAAAACTGAGATGAAACCTCACAAACAGCAGTTCAAATGTAGAGAAGAACAAATCATGGCAAATGTAGGTAGAGAAGAACAATGTAGTAAAAGCGCTTATCGCATCTGCATGAATTTGAGACATAACAAGTGCAGTAACAGTAAACGTGGAAAGAACGGGATAAAAATAGTGTCATTTCCTTCCTCTTGCATGCACAAATTGAAAACATGCTATGTAGCAAATGCCGGTGTTTGCCCCTGGCATGATGGACTTCACTTTCCATAAAGAAGTGAAGGCCCTCATGCATCGGCACACAACCCGATGGCAGATATACAATAAAACAAGGACTGCAGCGAATAGTAACCATGCACGAAGTAAGTTAGAAGTAATGCATGCTGCCTCAAATAACATGCAATGGATAATGGGCATGTCAACAGCCACTTGTAGGGCAACACAGGATGATCCGCTGATATAAGCCAGCGGGTAAAACAGGTAAGACATCAAAAAGACGAAACACTCACCGAGAGACGACTCCCACGTTTTCTGAAAATAGCCATTACAGCAAAATCACTCAAAATCCATCTAGCGGCAAGCAACTACTACTCATTTCATCACATATGTACCGATATCGAGAAAAGGAAACGAAAAAAAACTTACTAGGAGAAGGAAAAGAGATTACTGCAGCCTAAGAAGCAAAAACAAATATGGACGGCGACAAAAACTGTGATAAAGCGCTGTTTCATAGCCGCTTTTGTAGAAAGAGTAGACACTCAAACATAAAACATCATAAAAACTCACCTTAGAGAAGATTTTGATAGGCATGTAGAAGTCGCGTTTCAAATCACTTCGAATCATGCGTAGAAACGCACTAAACCACTCGAGTAGTTCCCATTTGCATCATTTCGAAGAGTTCGTACCTGAAATAGAGAGAAAACATTGAAAAAACATCAAAAACCACTCACCTGGAGGGTGTCTGCGCCACGGCCAAAATCCCGGATGAGGACGCCAAAATTGGACGCTGTGTGCAGAGACACACATGATCATATGAAATGAAGCGACTGTATTAAGGTGATAAGAGAAAAAAATGGAGAAGAAACGAAACATAGTTATCATTTCTTAGGTGAGGTGGTTGAGAACTTCTGCTATGCCCTCCTTTTAAAAAAGAGCACATGAACATTACTTTAAGAAGAGAAATATAATAGAGAATTTTTTGAATGGAAAATGCGGTCTTCGAAATATTAGAGGATCTAGTCGATAAATTGTACATTACTGGTCATTTGATTGAAGTAATTTGGCATCAGGAGTCTCAGAACCCAATTTCTTCTCAACAATAGAAGGACCTATTTTGAAAGAAGTGCATCAAAGTCTCCGAGCAAGCACTTAACGCTTTATCCAACATATAGGAATCTAAACACATACTTTTTTTTATCGTGTGCCATCACATATAATGAGTTTTTCATTCCGATTACTCTAATGATCAGTAAGGCCCAAATTATCATAAAGAAACTCTGTATTTCCTACAATCGATCTACTAGAATACCAAACTTTGTCGCGTGATCGAAGAGTTGGCTAAGAGTTCCAGATACGACACTGAATTTGCAAGATATGGTAATTCGCTATATTCTTAGATGATTTCAGAACCTGCGTAAAATAAACTAACTTCTCTGTTATATAGCGTGATTGGAAGACTCATAACTTCTGCTTAATTTATATTAATGCGATATGTTTCACAAACTTGTCAGGCGCAAGCACTTAAAAGTTTTTAAGGAAGCGTCAATCTATTCGAAAATATGAGTAAAACATAACTCCGAATGCTGAAAATTACCTGCTGTCGTTTATGGATTCTGAACTGAACCTTTTAAAACCTAAATTTTTTTTTGTTTCTCGATTCCAGTTCTATTCTCCTCATATGCAGTAAAGTACGTCTTACAGTGCGTGTACACAATTTAGAATGAGGGTACCTAGAGGGAAGAGTGATGGGCGGAGTCGCCCTTTGGCCCCGAGAAGGTGTGATGTCCTTCAAGGGATTTTTGGAGGTGCCAAGTACCCCTGCGAGGAAAAGCGGTTAGGCCTTGGGAATTCCTGCCACGCCGCCCATTTTAGGTGCAGCCTGCACTCAACTCTCTTAAAATATAAAATGTAATTTGTGAGAGGTTCTTATTTGTTCATTTACTAAACAGATACTTACATTTTTAGAATGCTCATCTCGTCGTGGTTCAAAAAATAACAAATTTATGAGCATTCAAGCATTTTGAAAACAACTTGGAATTTTCAGTTGAAATTCGACAATTTCGACCAAATTTTTCCACTGACTTCTCTTAACAAGAACTCATTGCTCAATGATATTCTTTTCGCTGTGGCCTGTTCTATCACTGTTCAGGTCTTTCATAAGTCTGGAATATTAGTTCCTTGTCTTACGCTCGTCTGATCAAGGTCCCAATTTGCAATTTCAGGCCGCCAACCTCAGTTCAGAGATCCATATCTCCATCGATAAAATTCACAGTCAGCTGTTTTCTTCTAAAACTTGTGAAGGACTTCCTGTAGATTCATAATTAGAGAATGATTAGGAGATTTCTAGGCAGTGAATTCCTTTATTGCTTCTCAAGCTTCGCAGCTTTCACTTAATTTCGCAAATATTTTTGGTGACTATTTTCATGTAAAAATTGGGGAAAAAAGAAAATTCTTGTGCACAGTTTGTCAGTAATGCTCAAGTTTACCATATCCAATTTAAAGTTATGCAATTACTGTCTGTAAGCAGAGCTATGACGGTGCGACGTATCTGTCGCGGCGTAACTGTCGAATTTATTATATTGCTGAAATCAGTGGTTGCTAGTCATGGTGGTAGTGAAATTAAATTCCATCAACTTTGATCTAAAAAAAGTTATTTCTTTGCGACGGTTTCGCACACAATCATTCCGTCGCGACCTTTCTAAAACGATTCAGGAAAAGTTTTTCTCAAACAAATTTACATTTTTTAGCCGTCATTCCAGTGGTATTCCGAATATGAAACTGAAATTTGAAAAGAGTAATTTTTAATAAAGTTATGAACCTGCGACATTTTCGTCGCAGATCAGTCCGTCGCCATACCACTGAAGCAGTTGAGGATGTGTTTTGAGAAAATTTTTTCGTTTTCAGAATCGCTTTTTTGTGAACTTTCCAAAAATCTCATAAGATTTGCAAAAAACTTAGTCTGAAAGATTCTATGAGCTTCCGACGATTTTCTATTGGTTTACTGCCGCGGCGGAAAAATCCATCGCCTCGCGTTTTTTTACGCGAGTCAGGGCTGCATTGTAGAGAGTCACAAAATCATATCCATTTTTGCATTCCCTTACACGTTTCTCGTGCAACGAATTAACATAGTCGGAACGATAATTCGACTCTTCCTTAACTGCGTTGATTTGTTCCCCTCTAATATCACCGAAAAGAATTTTGACAGCAAAAAAATGAGACCTGATTTTTCTAGGTAAAACTTCATTGATACATCGCATTTCTGCTTATGTAAAGCCCTAACATGGAAATGTATAGGCCGCTACATGAAGGCGCAATATCTTTAGGCGCGAACGCGGCTTTATTAGCCGCAGAGCGCATGAGACGCAGAATCACGTGAAGATACTCTTGCGTCGCGTTTACGCCCGCTTAACTAACAATAAGAATGCTTCTGCGCTTTCGTCATGCAATAGCCTCTACACATCCTCATGTCGAAGAAATGCGCATCTGCGTCACCTCATTCTCCGGAATGAAGGACGATACTGTCACCCATAGACTCCATCCGCGCGCCAGCTGGCACAAGCGTGAAGTATACTTGTATAGGGGTGGGAGAGCGAAGGCCACCAGTTTGAGCCGCCTTTAGAGGCCAACTGCTCCTTCTGCAGTGTCGCTGCTGTTCCAGGACCAGTAGTTCCGCGGAGGGGGTTCAAACTGGCGGTTGCATAGCTGTTAGAGATGTCCGCGTGGGACCCCGCTTTCGATGACGTATATCATGATTCCCATTCTTCACTGACAAAATGCCAGCGCTTGCGCTCGCAAGGCTCTCACAAAGCGATCGTACCATTCCATGTGAAATAATCGAGCCTACACCCGTGGCAACACACTCTGTGCATCGTATTTTAGTTTTCGCTTCGCCTTTAGCAACAGCAGCTGCGAGCATGTAGACTTTGCATGATAGGAGCGATACAGCTTGTTTTGATTGCAACATCTTGCTGGTTTTTCCGCATTTTGTGTTCTTCAACGAAGCTTTGACAAGGATTTGCAATCTTACTTAAACATTCACTATTTCTACTAAGCGTATCGAATTTTGCTTCAAGGCTCAGTTTCAGGTGGAATATGGACCAAAGTGGTATTTGGACTACCCGTCAGGAAAGTTTAACTGGCATAAGTCTCCGCACAATGTCAAAGTGAACGGAAAATTCAGTGCTACAGAACTGAAGGAAGTGTACAAAGTTTACTAGTGTTACTACATATGATTATATCACTACAAAGTGATTATTTATATATTGACCTCGTGCACTCAGTCAAATGTTCAAGGTATTCGTCAAGTGCGAACCTTTATGATTAGTTTAGAAAATGTTCTTGTTTTACATATTGGTCATAAAACTTGTACATTTTTCTTCTGGAAATTCACTGCTTTTATGTAGCATATACGCGCTGTTCCAAAAAATATGCCGATGTTTGTTGTTAGTAACTCTCCTGCCTGAATTCTTTTGCCGAACTTTAGGTACCATTCAATAGGGCTGCTTAAACTCAGACTTACAGTATGAAGCGAATCACCAATCACCGATCGCTTCATTACTATAGAATTAGTGGGAACCTTGGGAGGGTTTTGAACTTTGGAGGGCCATGTTCCGCCGCGGAAATGAAACAAAGCGACCTGAACATTCCACATTTGGTTGATTAGAGTTGCTGGTTCTAGATAGGATTCGCACTCATCGTAATGCTTCTTTGAAATGTGCCAAGTAAGCACCGGCAGTCGTCAGTTAGTTCTGTTCTTATTGCTGTTGATACTCTTAGAAATTGTGTTTACACCGTTAAGTAATCTTGGAAATCCTGTACAAAGCTGAGTATCAAAATACAGCGTCCATGAAAACCCTATGTCACAAGCTTTTAGATTTATTGGAAGTTATCTGAAAAACAGCTCACAATGGAGTCATGTGCCGGAAGTCCCTGCCGTAATCCTACAGTAATGGAGAGCGATTAGCTCCATATTGTAAAGCTAGGTTGAAGCCGGCTTTACAAAATGATGCCTAAAGCTTCTCGAGAGTCTATTGAGAGGATTATTAACAATCAAGCAGTGGGCACATTTAGGACACCCTAATTACCAACGTTCCGAAAGTCCGTGCCGTCTTTTGGTCATTACCGCAAACTACGGAAACGGTAGACAAATACTTTTACAGCTCTTCTTCCTCTTATTAGTTAACATGTTCTCGTGCTAATTTCTCTGAAAGCCGCTAAGATGATCCAAAGTTTGAAACTAAGAAATTTTGATTTGGTCTATCAAATCCCATGGAAAACCTTACTGATTAATCCATATATGATTCAAGTTGACTTTTTGCTTCTTCTGATGGTAAAATTCTCTTCAAAATGTATGCAGCAAGTACAATGGCTATAATTAAGATTCTGAAAGCGCATGCTTCAAAATTAATCGAAAAGTTTGTCTAACTAGAAGGCGACGTTTAAAGGCACCGTTTACCCACATTTCCGACTTCCAAGTTTTTGTCGTTTCAGGGCCCTCTCATGTCCCTGATTCCGAATATGAAGTCGAGAATGCTCGAAAACCCCGACAATCCCCGTTCCGGAGAACAGGTCAGTTATCTGGAACGGTGATTGGTTGGGCGCGCACAAATGGGCGGGCATGAGTGGGGGAGGGCGGGCATGGATAAGGGTCCTCGTGCCTCTTCGCTATTCTGAAGCGATTCTCTCGCTTCCGAAGCGGCATTTTGCGCCGCGAGTTGTCCATTGGATTAGGGGGCCCTACTACTATATGCTGCCAAAAGCTCAACACCCTCAACTTAGGGTGGACGGTGCCTTTAAAAGGGTTAAGTTATGCAGTTTTACGAAAACATATGCCGATTACAAAATCATATATTGCTGGTATTTGATTGCGCAGAACCAAGGGTAAGATAGAATTTGTATAAAACTCTCCTTCAAAGGGTTATCTCGCGACTTTAATTCTTTTTCAGATTCAATCCTTTAAAGGGAATGGGTTGAAGAATTTTACTTCACTATTGGCAGTTCGACTGTAAGATTCAATGCGCATACAAGGATTTCCTAAAAATTCCATTCAGCAGTAACAGTCAGCTTTTCGATACCGTTTCCGCTGCGGCCAACATGCCATCGTTTGCCTTTTTCATGCAAATTTTTGGCCGTCTGCTCAAACTGTGTCAGTGAAATACGTCTTTTATAAACGTTAAATGTGTGCACCGATTGGCTCAACGCAGCACAAACTCTGTTACTGCATTCTCATTCATTTCTGCCGTTTTCATAGAAAAGAAGATTGCTGTGCTTTTCTGAGTATACCATCAAAGATTTATGTAAAGTAAGCATTGGTGTTTCATAGTTTTGCATATGCACCGAATCTCATGTTTCTGACATTCACGACAAAGTTTGCATTCAATTTCTTCTTTCTGGTATAAAGACATGGTCTTGCTTTCTAAGACAGTTCCTTCGCATCGTCATTCTCCAGTATGCGTGTTTCATCAGAAGTCGGAGTCTCTGTTAACGTGACGCTGTCAAGATTTACATTCTTCGTTTCAACCTGAATGGTGCTTTGTATTTTCACATCTGCTTTTTGTTACTCACCAAGAATAGATATGACACAGTGAGATTCACGAGTCCGAGGATGACAACCGTCAAATACAGTGATGGTGGCCAATAGATGTTGGCATACGTTAGCTGAAAGTGGGAAAAGTTGGCAATTTACAGTACAGTTGTAACTTTGGAGTTCGGCCAAAATTGCGGGATTTGCGGTTTGCGGGATTAGTTATAACTTCTAAAACAACCTTATTTGAAAACTGCAAGAACATTTGGCTTCGCTTCAAGAGAAGAATCTTATAGTAAAAATTATGCCCATAGTCCATGGTGATACGGTAGACATATGATACTACTTTGTTATTTTCAAGATTTGTTCGTATGAGCAACAATACACGTTAATAATCTCATAACACATGCCGATATAATACAATGCACCATGGAAAAGGGGTATAATGTATACTAAAAGATTCGTCTCATCGAGCTGAAGCCAAATCTTCTTGAAGATTCCAAATAAAGTTATTTTAGCAGAAGTAAATTTTGTAAGTCCCGCAAATCCCGCAATTTCGGCCGGATTCCACCACTACAACTGTATTGCTTGTCACTCTCTTGACTACGCTAGTATTTGATTTCCACAAAATATTGGCACAAATTATTCCTTCCAGAAAATCTCTACGGACTTGTCTTTAAAAAGTAGACATACGGTTTGCACCTAAAAACGTATTTGGTGGATTTTTCCCAGGGCGCAAAAGTGAGAAGTAATGTTGTTGTTTCGAAAATGCCACTTTTATGGGGTTTACATATAAAACATGTATTTCTCGATTATAAGGGCACCTACAAGAGTAGAGTTTTGAGATTATACTTATTGTTAGTAAGGCTTGTAGTATACAATGACACATGTGGGAAGGGCTGGAGGCGGAGTCTAATCCTAGACTATCTTTTTCCTCGCTTTCTATGCGCGAAAAAAAATCCAATGAAGGCTTATTTGAGTACTACTATGTGCCTATTGTATAATGACCAAGTTGGAGGTCCGTATTTTTTCTCGCAAAAATCCGAAGTTCAAGGAAGAATTTTTCTCGATTTTGGCTTCAAACTTTACATGAAATGCTTCTTAGGCGGACCCTTGGTCATTCTGTAGAGCTTTATCTGCTCTATCGAATGATAGAGCAGAGTCTCTAAAGAAAACAATAACAGCTTGATTTGTTCAAAAAAGAAATCACTTTTGGGACAACCTAGTAGCATTTTTCTATACGGGTGGAGTTACGAATGCAAATAAGCTACGCTGCTGGAGGAAAAAGTTTTGATTGGCGAGAGCCTGGAAGCTCTCCCTACCCGTCCCCAAAATGCACTTAACGCCGCAACTGATTTCGAAGCCTGTTATCTGAATTTACTGGTTCTCATGGCATCGTGCAAGTTTATTTTCGGCATGGACATGCGACAATCCTTACGTGATCAAATGCGTGCAGCAATATTCAAGCATACGAAAATATCTTTGCTCAAAGATCTGAAATTGCTAAATGAATCACCTTGATAGTAAAACTGAAATATGGAGCCAGTCACATGAGAATTTGGAAAAGAGAGAATTTGCAGTTTGAAAGTGAGCTTAATTTTACTGCCACTTCAGTTGAACTGCAGGAAATGCAAAGGGTTGAATATGCAATATCTTTCATCAGGGTTCGGCACAGGTGGGCTACAAGCAACCTGGATATCGTTTTTGGGACAGAAAGCAAAGAGGGTTTCGTTTTTGTGGCCGAAAAGACACAAAATTTGCGACGTTTTTCTAGTCAATGTTTCGTTTTTTGGAGATTTTTTAGGGATTATGATTTAGGGTCAAAGGAGACTTCGTAAAAATTCGCAAAATTCAAGGGAGACTTCGTTTTTTGCACTTTATCTAGCCACCTCGTGCAGAGCCCTGTCCTTCATTCATCCCAAAAATACATAAGCCGTCCCCCGCTTACAAAAACCTAAAATCACTAATCAAGAGAAAAAAATGCTGAGCTTGAAATGAAAACTGCTCCTTAATCAGTTCTGATTTCCAGACATAGGCCCGTAGTAAACCCCCCTTCAGGGGATCTACCCTGTGACGGACCTAAGTTAATCGTATGGCGCCTCGGTCTAGCATCCCGTAAGCTATTGATCTAAATGCGGATCGCTTTTCAAGCATAAAAATCTTGCGCGCTATCAAAGAGGAAACGCCTACACTCTCGTGCAGTTTGGTCAAACAGGTATGTGACTGGTACTCAGCGCGCACGACCGTGGTTCGGTGCCGGATACTGGTGAATTTTCGTGCATCACTGAGCAATCTTTGATAGCGGCCACTATCGAAGACAATCGATGACGGCCGCTATCAAGGAATCCACAAACCAGATGAATGCACAAAACAAAACTACGTTTTTTTAATCCAAAATTTCATCAAAAATTGAGGAATTAGGGACAACATCGAATGGAGATAAATAAAGAGATTGTCGCTCTGAGTAGCTTTTGTAGAAAAAACCTAAGTAAACTCTGCAAAAAGGAAAAAACCTATTCTTCTGTTCCGAAATCAGCTGTTCATTGATCATTTCCTTTTTGGGCACCGGTATTGTGCAGTTTTGCGCGTTCTTGTACTGCAACAATACGTCAAGTACGATGTCCCGTAAGTTACTCACGAGCAACTTACGGGATTTTTATCTGCGTTCCTCTCTCATCCCTTGCACCCTATTTTGGTCGATTCATCACAAAATCGAGGCTGCTCTTACGGATTTCAGGTGAATTCATCGCGGCATGCCCTGACGCTAACTCTTCAGATCAGGTCGCATTCTTAAGCTTGTGAGAGTGACCGCTAGTCAGTTTATCTTAAATACTACAACTCAGCCCCTCAGTTAAGATCATCTGAAGTGAAGTGGAGTTCACTACGGGCCATACAGTTCTAAAGTGCAGCTCAGAATGTATACCTTGTATTGGTCCCTAGTTTGTGAGTAATATCAGTACTAAAGTTTAAGTTGAGAATAAATCCCTAGACAAACTAATATTTTTGTAACTTGTGTGCAGAAAAAGACGAGCTATTCTTCGCTTTCATTACTCAGACAATCGACCGGACCCCTCCGCCGGACAGTCGGAATCTGCTAGAGTCGCGCCGGACCCAGTTGACCAATGAGAGCGGGGCAAATGGGCGGTCCCTTCTTGTAGGTCGCGGTGACATCACTGGCAGGCAAGTGGGACGCTTCTCCGGCCCTGCTGCAAAGGTACGCCATTTCTGCTCCGGAGGTACGCCAGATTTGGCAGAGCCGCGCCGGAGAAATTTGCCCGGCGCGAGTCCGCCAGATTTGGAAGAGCCGCGCCGTAGAAATTCGGAGGGGTCCGGAGCACAATTGGAGGTCTCCGGAGCACAAAATGGGAGGGCTCCAGAGCAGAAATGGGAGGTCTCCGGAGCAGAAATGGGAGGTCTCCGGAGCACAAAATGGGAGGGCTCCGGAGCACAAAATGGGAGGGCTCCGGAGCAGAAATGGGAGGTCTCCGGAGCACAAAATGGGAGGTCTCCGGAGCAGAAAATGGGAGGTCTCCGGAGCAGAAATGGGAGGTCTCCGGAGCAGAAATGGGAGGGCTCCGGCGGACGAGTGGCAGACCCACCGCTGGGGAAACCCCGCGGCCCTGCCATTTCTCCGGCGGAGGGGTCCCATCCGCTGTCTGAGTTACGTTTTGGAATGCTGAACAGCTATTGTTTCAGTGATTATAATCAACTTTCTGCAGCTTGGCAATTTTTCAAATAAGTTTTAGGTAAACGTATGTTATGTTTCAGATAAACGTATATTATCAACGCTATTAAACTATTTAACTATCTACCAGTCCATACTACCCTAATTTCACGCGTACAAGGCGCGGGGTGGTCCTAGCTTTCATCGACCAGCCCGAACACAGCAAAGGACTTCGCAACCAAAGGAACCCCATACCGTGCTGCGTTTTGCCTGACGAATCGTGCGGCCTAAGGATCGCTTCTTAAAACACATTGGGGCGGCTGAGCAGCTCGATGAAAGCTAGGACCACCCCGCGCCTTGTACGCGTGAAATTAGGGTACTATTTTGATAGTGGTCAGCCAGCGGCGGACTGAAGGGAGACGGGGTACAAATATGAAACGGCTTGTTTTTATTTGTAGATAAAAAATCTTTGAAGATTTCCAAAGATCAAACAGGCTCTGCAAAAAGAATTTTCGGGGTATGGTTCCGCAAAAATTTCGAAAAAATCCCAAGAAGCCCTCCGGAGTTCATGCCTAGAGTCACAACCCTTCGCCCGAAATTTTTGTTCTCCTTCCCCCTCTTTGACAGCTAGTGCTGCAGTCTTTACTTGAATTACTTCTCCATTTGTGAAGATGCGGAGCACGTACCATAGGTGCGATTATGGCGCCTACACGGGCTATGAGGGAGCAAGTACCAGTAGCACTTGCTCGACATGATGTCTCCATAGATTCTATCGCACAGAGATAGCACGCATCCCACGTGTATTCTATGAAGATTGTTCCGGTTACGTTGATTATTAAGGTGGCGATGCCCTGAATGGAACTCCACACTTAGCTGTGATAAAAAGAAGAAAAGTCCTTGTACCTGATACTCTTTCAAGGTAAGGAAGAACAGAATGAGGAAACACAAGCAGACAACACTTTGAGCTCCTTGGTGAAGGATGCGCCTGCTGAACGATGGAACAAATGTGTCGACAGCGACCAGAACCTATACGAAGAAGATGCTGTGGTATCTAAACAGATTACACAATGAATTTACCATTTTTGAAACTGCAATGAGAATTGAGAATATGATTTGATTCATGAAGAAATCGCCGCTTATGGTGTTTGAATTCAAATCAGTTGCATAGCCACAAACAGAAGCAATAAACCACATCGTCCACAGAGTGTACAAACGACGATGAAGGTTACCGGTATGCAGCAGCTCGCAAAGTGACTGGAAAAATAATTCTTTCGCAAAAATTGGTTTTTGAAAATTTTACTGTACCTTGTTATGTTCAATCTTTTTATGTATTACAGGCTTATATTCAACACGAGCAAATCTTGCGATATATCTTTCAGCAGCTCGCATCTCTTCCAGTCGACCCTTAAATTATGCTGTTATTTTTACGCAGTATAGAGTTACCCTATCTGTTGAAGCACCTTATTATGAAGCCATGTTGGGCTTTCTGGAAAAACGAAGATAATAATCAAAAGTGCTGGAAGTGCGGTAAGAGCGCATGCGATGCTTGCTGCTCTCCATTCAGGAAAAATCATGCACAATAGAGTCACCATCAATCGAGCCACTCCCTTCAATGAAATTTTGCAGAAAATTGTATGAAAAGACAAGGTCCTTACCCAATTGAAAAACGCTCGTAGAGCCATTCTTTGATGGGGCAGAAGCATTTCCATAACAAAGGTGCAAACGACGACTAGCGTTCCTCCAATAGATAAGCCGAGGAAGAATCGGATTGCCATGAGGATTTGCCATGTTGGTGCCAATCCTAAACTGATCATAATTAAGCACAGCTAGAGCTTCACGTAGACAGGGACAAATAGTAAACCCTTCAAATGACTCAGTCTGAATTCGAAGCTATTGAACGACAAAGATGGTGTCAGGGGACGTACTTTGGCCTTCGATAGAAATCAACTTTTAGCGAGTTCATGACGCTTTAATCTACCACAGTATGCGGTTTAAAACAGAGAGAGGGCGGTCCGGAGTGCGTATTGTTCAGAAATTAATTGTAGAAAAGCATAGCCCAGCTGTAATACTTCCTCCCCTTTTGGTTGAGGTCATTATACCCTAGGACTGTAGCCAGCACTCGTTCAACTGTAAATTAAACTTTTCAAAAAAAATTACACCTGGCGAAAGGAGGAAAAAAGTTAGATATTGAGTATGTCGTGGAAGGTTGTGGGTCGTTTTCGCATCCGCTTTTCAAATTTTATTATATTTGTTACTTTACGTGGAGCAAATACTTGAGAGAGTAGAATAAAAATGAAGCGTTTATTCTTCCTAACGAGGGAGTGGCTAGAAATTAACACTGCCAATTCTAACAAGAAGCTTTATATCATCGGACTCTTCTTGAAACGCTGACTTCACATATATGATTTTTTTAATCGTCGAACGACTATCTAGAAGGAGTTATGAGCGCTTGAATATGTGAAATCATCCGAGTCCGAACGGGTATAATTCGGTGCAAGGCAGCCTGAAAGCGCATGATTACAGTGATTATGGGTATTCTTACTGAAAGGAAGAAGCACAGTAACTGAAAACCTAATAAGCGTTTCAAAACGTTTCTCGTACATTATGTGCTACAAAATAATTGAGAGTTCGAACATTCATACGCTCATAACTTCTTCCAAATATCCAATCGTTCGGTAAATAAGAAACGTATATTTGGGTTTTGCCCTCAAAGGAGTCCGATGATGTATAATTTGTTTAGAACGGCTGGATTAAGCTCCAACCATTTCTTGGTAAGAATGACTGAGCTGATAAAATGGAATAGTTACCATGCATCACGAAGATCCTGGCTTTTAAGCATCTTAGACGCAGATTCTCTTTATCTGCAAAGAATTTGCGAAGGAAAACTTTTGTATCAACTAATATCAAATGTTAAGGCGAAATCGGTTGCCGTTTTTTTCCTATTCTCCGCTATGCGGAAGTGGGCGAGCCATTATCGATAGCGTCTTTCACCTATTTTTTCAACTCAATTCGAAGATGACAACTCGAATCAAAGGTAAAACTTTGATGCTACGAAATAGACCTGTCACAAAGTTTGTGAAGATTCCTATAGACATAGCAGTGATTGCTACAGGTTTCCTTCCAAAAATGTCTGACATTGCGCCGAAGGAAAATGTTCCTAAAAGAAGTAAGTCATAAACAGTGGTACTAATGTAGTGCTTACCACAGAGAACTCCAGCAAATTGAATCTGAGAAAATAATGATGCTAAGTAAGCATTGCTACCGCAGATCCATCCAAATCTGTAATGAGGAGGTGCCGGTGCTCTAATTTACATTGTCAAAATCTATTGCACGTTCATATCCTAACAAGGAAGAATAAGCACATAAGAAATATTAGGTTGGCACATAAGTTTTGCAACTTTTCCCGTAACTTTTTTCATATTTTATGTAGCAATCTCATTTTATGACATCATGTAGATCGTGATGTATGCTGCAAGTCTGCGCAAACCGTTTGATTTTTGATAACGTAGTACAAAAAATCTAAGCATTTTTTGAAAACTGCTGAAAATCGAGGTTTCACGATTTTTTGGCAAACATGAAGCCCTACGAAACCTGATTCGAACATATGAAAAAGCAATTATAGGCAGCATGTAGCTGGAGGTTGGCACATTGGAATCAGTGAAAAAGAAACGAAATTTAAACACAGATTAAGGTGGGGCGCCTTTGATAAGATGAACAAGTCAAATGCGTCAAGTTTTAAAGGCAATTTGTCAATAACTAAGCTGCGAAAAGTCAGAATTCGCTATAACTTTGCATTATAGGGTAATCCTATGCGGTAAACACGAATATCATATTCATTTGTCGCTAAAATGAAATTCATCTTTTGAACTCACGAACGAGACCTTATGCGAAACGGATCCCATTTTTGTGATTAGCATGTCAAATAAGCCCTATAGGACAAGTTTCAGCAAAATCTGATGCATTCTGGAATTTTCCCATAGTACCGTAAACCTACCGTAATCCTCACATAAGACGGTAAAATTCGGCAAAAATGTGTGCATTGGAAGCTTACGTCATATTCCTTATACTGCCAAAAAACGAATGCGCTACGTTCATAGACAAAAGTTATGTAAAAAGTTGCATTACTTATGTGCCAACCTAATATAACAAAAATTGAACTATGCAAAAACACAACAAAGAATTCCTTTGTTATGCATCCAGAAAATGTCCCTAATTTCATTGTCGATAATTCTCTTGTTATGATGTATCTGGAGATGCTTTGGGTACCGTTTTCTGGAGCTACCTTTAAAAATAAAAAGCAAATCAGTGATTCTTCAATCCTACACCAGATTACGTAGAAAGTTTGAAGACGGTTCTGAGCTATTAAGAGTCGCATTCTGTTTGAGAAAGAAAACCGAACAAACCGAAAATCATACCAATCCAAAGCTGATGATTTCAGGTATGAAATTTGCGCGTAGTCATGTTTCTTCCAGCAATTATCAACGGTAAGCCGTAATAACTGTTTTTCCGTTCTTTTTCGAAAATCTGATTACATCACTAAACACTCTCAAAAACCTTGTGAAAGTGTAACGAAATCAGCATGCGCGAAAATCTTTCTGCACAATTTTTGAATTTTTTCTATGTTTTCTTCATCAAAACCTGATTTGATAACAGCGCTATATCCTGGGTGTTAATAGAGTAATCCTAACGAATGAGGTCAGAAATTCGTTCCATATAGCGGATCTAAGCTGAAGCTAGCTCTATAAAAACGCAATCAGAGCGTTCCCAAAGGCTTATGACGAGAGAGTCTAATATTCAAGCAGTAAGCACATGTTTATCACCCTGTATTTCAGGATGTTTCTACAGTGACGTTAGATTCTTACGAGATTTTGGTATATTAGGTTGTTGCATAAGTTCTGTCCGATTTTTTGCCTTATGTTTGAAGCAGCTGTTCTAAGAGAATTTCATTTCAAATGCGATATTGTTAGTACCATTAGGAAGTGCTTTTCTTGCGCTTTCTAAAGCTTATCAAATTTTAGTAAATTTCTCAATGTAAGGAGATTTCAGGCCTAAAATCTTTAAGTGGCCGAGGTACGTTCTCACCCTAGAAATATGTTCTTGCAAGGAAATCTCCACAATGCGCCCTCCAAGTTAAGTTCTTTCATTGGCTGCGGAATAAGGCTATAGAATGCTAGTATATGCAGAAGTTCGGTTCCATGAAGAAGAAGTCTTGCTAGTAAAATTTGTCGTCGAACATTAATTTTCTGTATAGATGTTTTACAAGCTATAACTATCTGCGAATGGAAGTAATCGACGACTTCAAAGTTGGAGGTGCTAGGGTAAAGCAAGAGCTAGCAGGGCCCATCCACCAATACTTTTTCCGCGCTCACGTTAATTGTAAAATTTTCATAACTCGTAAATAGGCATGCACACATGCGCTGAAGCGAGGTCAAAAAGTGGCTAATTTTTTGTTTGGTCAAAAAAAAATATCTCGGCAACGCGGACCCTATGGGCTCTTTCATGTTGGAAAATAATCTACGAAGATTTCTCTATCTGTCCATTGTTAGATAAGATGCCTATCAATTCTCATAAGGGAGCATTGTCATGTCAAGAAAGACAAGTTAGAAGAAAAACGTAGTGAAGTTTTTAAGTTTTTGCTTCTTCCCTAATGAGGATTTTCGCAGGTTTCAATATGTATCTGATAGCTAAGGAATTGCTCAACACAAGGAAACTGAGATCTTGGAAAAAAGTTGACTTTAAAAGAAGTTATGACATTTTGAACTCAAAAAATTCAATTCGGACAGAACTTATGCAATAACCTAATATACGACATTTTCGTTTTTTGCATGTTAGCGAAGGTGATGAGTGTTCACTGTCAGTACTTCCCCTCAGGAGCTCATGGAATTTGCAACAGTGGCTCCTTTTAGAGAAGGTAAACATAACCATGCCACCTCATGTATAACACCGATTTTTTGCGTTTTACACCTACTAATTTGAAGTTTAGTTTTCTTAACCTCTTTGCTTGATGCATTTCTACAGTAATCCCGTGGTTTTATACTGAAAAGAGCCTATAGTGTCTCAGCGTTAGCATGTTAAGTTTCTGGCTCTGGTTGATCGTAAGCACTGCTTTCTCAATAAAACTTGTGCTAGCTTAAGCAAAGTATTCGAATTCTTGTGGAGAGCCCATTTTAAGTGCAGGGGTTGTGGGAAAGATGTTATTAGTATAGAAAATTTCTAGGAGTGATGCCAGCCACCACTGTCCCTGGAGTGATCAACGGGCTGACATTTTCAATCATCTAAAGAAAATTTGCAGTGTCACTATCATTCTGCAATATAATCTACCGTGGTTTGTGGAATAATGTGCTGACGAAAGTTTGTTTCGAACAAATAAACCGCAAAAACGTCGATGTGAAGAGATACTCAAGCATCGTCAGGAGTGTTTCTTTATATGTTTTCCAGTTAGCTACGCCTGCCTATCATAAGTGCAAATAGCTGAGTAATAGAGCCAAAATTTTGCGAGACTTCTAGAGGCTGAGACTCCGTGTGTCGGTACTTTTTGAACTGTCTAGCTTCTACAGAGATTATTGTGAATTGTGTGTTGGTCATAGTTCTCATAAGCTCTTTACTTCCAAGTTTTGCGATGTAAAAGCGAAAAAGTTTGCAAGAAGCAATTTCAATTCGTATTACTACAATTAACTATTTCTAATGAAGATTTCGATAGTGCAAGATGATCAAGCGAACATTATGATAAAAAGAACCTACTCCAACGCTGCCGAATAGAATTGCGAATTCGGGTGATTAAGAGTCCCATTGCAACTAGTGTAGATCGAGCAATCCTTTGACACTGGACCATCATCTACAATAAAAATATCATTGAATAGAAGTATCTACAACAATGTAAGGTTGCCTTTCCTCTCCTTCCAATTTGAGAGACGGATCGATATACGATTCTCGAGATTGGTTTGATATATTAGGTCGTTCCGAAAGTAATGTCGCTTTTTTCAAATGAACGCCACATTTCATGGAATCAAGGTTTTCAAGAAATCTTAGGAGCATTCGATGCAGCATTTCATCCTCTTTCTAAGGGCTGTAATTTCATTGCATAATTTTCATTGAGCTTTCGAAAAATTAACAAAATCTGCAACTCATGCTTTTTGCCATGGTCAAGTTCGGCAATCTTTTAAAATTTTTGTACCTATTCCCCGAAGAAGTACAAATGACAGATAGATAGAGCAAACCCTATAGGACGCAAGAGTAATTTTTTCTTTTCCTTAGCTTGCTTCTTAGAGTTTCTGGAATCAGTTATAAAATGCCATCAAATTCCATATTTGGTCAACTCAAACCTCACAGAACAACAACCGGCAAGCAACTCGGGTGTCATTCGACGCAGCTTTTTCTCCTCTTTTTACCAACTGTTTTTGGTTTCCAATTCATCAAGTTTTCCAAGATAAATTCATCGTAACTCAGGTTTGCCAGGGCGCCTCCGGCTAAACCCGGAATTTTCGAAAGTTGCTAATTTGAAGCGGTAAACGCTCATTTGCGTTGTAAAGGTAGTGTAAAACCATAATCCAATTTTGTAAGTTTCAAAATCCGACGATTTCTTGGTGTTTGATGCATTCGTGTCTGAGACGAGCCTGCTAAAATTCGGTGGTTCCATCAAAAAATCTATAAAAAAATTATGACGAGCCCTGAAAAGTAGAAAAAAGTGGTGCTGTTTCCCGTAGGGTTTGCTCTATCCATCCATTACTTGGACTCCTTCTGAGGTTTGTTATAAAATTTTAGAAAAATTGTGAAACTTGGCCATCTCAAAAAGCATAGGTCGCAGATTTTGACTCTTTTCTGGAAGCTCATTGACTATATTGCAACAACTTCATAACCGTTAGAAAGAGAATGAAATGCTGCATCAAATGCTTCCAGAATCTCTTACACATATTTGTTCCACGAAATGTGGCGTATGTTTGAAGAAAACGACATTACTTTCGGAACGACCTAATATTACAAACATACGTAAGTTAAGAAATCTCGATGGAATAGTTTTTACATGGCGCGCCTACGCCCGAGAATGATTGACAGTGTCAAATTCCTCCTATCTTTTACCGTCTTAAAGGTTTAGCCCAGACAAAAGATGGATTTTTGTACTTCCAAAGAAACTCACCGCACTGCCATTTAGGCACGTAATTAGAAAATATAGGGAATATTTGTTGTGAAGCAAAAAATATAGCGAACTGCCACGTGATCAGCACGAATAGATGAAATCGATTAATGCCAAAGAACATGATCTAAATGAGTAAGAAGTAATTCACAGAGTGTCCCAAAAGTATGCATGCACTGTTTTGTCGTCGATATCTCTCTTCCCGTAAGTGTTTTGCTTATCTCCAGGCACCATTCTATTGAGCTGGCTGTTACACTTACATTGTAGAGCGAATCACTTATCTCTCTTCATTACTGTAGGATTACGGTAGAAACTTTGAAGAGGATTTCAAGCGTTTGAAGGCCCTATTTTGTCACATAAAGCAAAACGAATAAACTAGGAACTCTTACACGGCCAATCAGAGTCGCCGACGAAGTTTGCAATATACCGTAATGCTTCAATTAACATTACGTTGTCCCATGAGTGTTTTCATACTCGAAGCTTCAAATTAATATTTCTCAAGAACTAGAGCACCGACAAGGCTGTAAATTCGTGGCAGTATTTCTAAATGAATAAGCTATATAACTATGTACTTGCAAGGAACATAAACTCGCTACAGGCGAAGTTTGAAAATTCAGTCCATTACATCTTCTTGATTTTAGACATCCAAAAGTGCAGCAAGTGTATGTGATGGGGAAATTATGTGCGTGAGCGAGTGGGAAAATCGCAGAGTTGTTATAAACTGAGATACAATTATTTTCGTTTTTTTTTCGGGAATTCGTAATTTTTTATACTTTGATTAACTCAATGCAGATCAAGCTTGGTGCAAACTGTTGAAGCCTTCTTGTCGAGTTTGCTTTGTTATGTATAATGTATCCAGAAAAATATTAAAAACCCAAGAGGAACTGATTTATGGCGGTGACAATTTGGATATCAAAAGACTTATGGGACAACCTAATAAGTTACACCAACTGCAAAATAATTGCGTTCTTAATCCGTTATAATGTGATCACACCATTCAAAAAATTTGGAAAAAAATTGGCGCAGTGAAATCAGCAGGCTCGAAAACTCTTTTACTCAAATTGTCAGATTTTTCCAGATTTTATAAGACGGGCTGGTTCACAAGGCGTTTTGTGATGGAAGTTTGCATCATAATTTCATGGTGAAAAGATTTATTGGTGATTCGCTCCCTAATGTAAGTCTAAGTTGAAGATAGCTATAAAGAATGTAAAGGACAGCAAAAGGTTGTGAAAAACACCAAAGACGATCAAACAGCACATACAAATTTTTGGTACCACCGTGCATTCAGGGTAGAGCAAACAATACAAGATCACGAAGGGTACAAAAAAGGTCATCATAAAGTGCATTTTTTTGTCATTTTACCGCAATTCTTCTCTCCACTTTGCTATAAACATAATACGAATATTAAATAGAGCACAGTTTACAACAAAACTTTTCAAGTATAACGAAATTGCAGAAGTCAGGTGAGTATTGTGCACTTTTTTTTCTATTTTGTTAAAAAAATATTTTTACCTACAAAGCAGCCAATCTGCGTGCATAAGCGTGATTATATCCCAAACACACAAAACTCGAATTCAAAAGTACTGCATTTGCGAAAAGAAGGAATAGCTATCGAGAAAAAACGAAATTAAGAACGAATTGAGAGCAGCACCAGCAGAAAGAGAAGCATGCTTAGTGTAGAACTCTTTCTTTGAATTTCGGTCTTGCAAGGAAGAGGCAGATATTTGGAAAAACCTTTGATCTCCTCTTAGAACTAACTGTTATAGTAAGACCTTTGCACTGCCTATTTCATGCATGCGTAACGAGTTCATGCATAACTGATTTCCAAAAACTGGAAGAATCATAAACGTAATTTATATGGTCAAACTTTGTCATTTAGTAGTGCATTCATCGAAAGGCATCAAATCGTGCTATTTCTGGCATGACTACTTTGATTTATTATAACGGTTATTTGAAATGGCAGCTAGACGAAAAAAGACAAAAATTTTATCGTAGTGGGTAGCCGATCTTCATTCCTTTCTATTACTTTGCTTCAGGTTGAATCACTTCCTCTTAGCTGTCTGTAACTTCAAAGTTACTGTTGGAAGTGATCGTGCAATTTAAGCAAAGACTAAATATATGAATGGCGACAAGTGTTGCCAAAGCTGATGATTTCAAACGAATATCGGGGAGTACAGTCAGTTGTAGAACGCAAATCAAACTAGCAAACATCTAAGGACCAAAGCTGCATACTGCCCTTTCTCTCAGCGTTCACTTCCTTTGTGTTTGGGAGAAAAAAACAATGAATACAAGCCAATTAGTCAAAGTCTGTGCGCGCTCAAACTTCAATATCATAGAGCTTGAAAGCGTTAAAAAAATCGCAGATTTGGTAATCAACCCATAAGGAATGGAACAAGCGGTTACCATGTACTATCCCACAATTACATCGAGAGTTTTTAGGTTTTAAGATCTCCGTGTCTGTTTCGTCTCAATATTATTATCTAATGCTTAAAAATAGTTCAAGCACTACTCCTTACCCCGATACTATTCTCCCTACTCCAGTAGTTCTAGGACTTCCGTTCGGGAGGGAGGCGGGAGGGGAGACGAACAGCCACGCACAAAAATTTCGCAGGCCCGTGGCCCCGAAGTTCTAGAAAGGAGGCTGGCGACGTCCAAGCCTTCGAAAAAGTTTATTTACGAATTTAGATTGAATATTTCAAAGTTCAAAAGTTATTTTGATCATTTAGAAATGTGAAGAAGTCATTCGCACATTTTAACTCATTTAAGTGACTTTCAAAAATTTCGCGCCCCATTCTCGGAAAGTGGGAGGGGGCTCACGAGTTCCCCTCCTCCCTCGCTCCGCCAAATCCCTGTTCCCATTGTAAATCGTCTCATTGAGGGACACAACAGCAAGACGACATTATGTATTGTATCAAGTGCTATTTGCTTTTGTTCACAAACTAGCACAAAGCAACAAACACATTTTTGAAGCACATTTTTATCATTCCTTTTTCTTCATCTTTTAAAATATATTTTCATGAGAGAAACTTTTGCAATATATGCATTTTTGTGCGAGACTTTCACCTAATCAAAGTATTGCTCCTATGTACGCCAATAAATTTGTGAAAGCACCCTGGAAATGGTGGTCTCATCTATTAAAATGAGTATAAAACTTAATTTTGAGAATAACCAGCAAGTGAACTATGGTTTTGTAGCTTGGGTCTCGGAAAAAGCTACATCCCCTTCCATTGCAAGAACTTAAAAGAAAGTCTTGACTTTGAGCTGGAATAAAACCAGGAAATAATTTCTTTTCTGAAGTCAAGTTACTTGCGAAGTCGAGAACAGTCGGAAGAGATCATTTATCATCGCATCAAAAAAAAAGAGTGGCGATTTAGGTGGGACAACTGGTTTGGCAAGTGGTTTTTCAAAGGTGCTACTTTTAACTAGGATAGTACAATCTATGGAGGTGCTCGAAAATTTAGAGTCAAAAGCGCCAGAAATCAACTATAGTATCAATATAGAATTTTTCTCAACTATCATATAGTTGGGAAAAATTCCCATGCAGGACATAATCAAAGACTGAAAACCTTGTTTCCACCACAGCGCCAAAAACTTGGGCACAAAATACTCTACATTCGAATCAAGCTCTGTTACCATAAAAATTACGTATTCTTCTCAAAAACTATACTGTGACATCGTTTTCGTGTGTGACTTATTGGTGAATATTTTGCAGCAATGTATTGTCCTACTTAAACCATTTTCATTTCAAAGGTCTACTTACTAAGGGAAAATAAGTTTCGAAAGCTTTTTGGGTGTCGTGTGAATGGAATTTTGAGCAAGGGAAACTATAGTAATAGATTATGCTGCGAAAAGTTTTATTTCAAAAGGCTACTGATTGCATGCAAGTTTTACGGTAACAGCAGGGATCAGCCGAGTACCATATCAGCGCTTTGATCCTTCAGATCACTCTTGGTCTAACTAGATATCCTGGCAAGAAAGTTGGAGGGCTTTTTTGGCCTCAGACAAGAGTGTAGCTATAGTTCAGGAAAAATGTTTTAAATCCTGCGACATAGTAGAAAAATTTGACCAGAACTAGCTCTTAGTTAGTCTACTACAATAAGGGCTTCAAAAGTTCAACGCTATTAGGAATATTTCGGATGTTCAATCAATATTTTTCTCACGATTTCCGGGGTTTGTCTATAGTTTGGAGTTCGCTTCTACAGTCCCCGCATTCTCAAGCAAGTAAAAATTCGCCTGTGATTCTCATTACGAGCGGTAATATATTGGGTTGTCCAGAAATTGATGCAGGTTTTGAATTCCAACAGCAATAAGTCATACACTTCTCATTTCTAGGTAGGTTGCAAATCACCATTCGATAGAACGAAGCAATCTCTACAAGACGACAATCTTGCTTTAGCAACAGCTCTGATCCACCACGAGTTTTCGAGCCAAAAATCAAAAAAATTCAACTGCGTGAAAAATTAAGAAAAATCGTAACTTAGTTCATAAAAATTCTACGGAAATTCTAACTTGCTCACGTAAACACAATCCACATAGGGCATCTATTTACGCCGTTGCCGTATTTTTTTTTCTCCGTTAGAAATCAAGAAAACGGAAATTTTCGTTCATTCGCCAAAGTGGTGCTATGATTCCCACATAAGTAGTTGTATACTACAAACCTGTAGTAGTATGAACGTAAATTTTCAGGTCCCTACAAGCTTTAGTTCTCGAGAAATTTGAATTTAAGCTTGGACCACATGACTAGGGAAAACTGTATGAGCAAGTTAGAACTTTTGTAGGATTTTTATGAACTAAGTTACGATTTTTCTTAATTTTTCGGGAAGTTGAATCTTTTCAGTTTTTGGCTCGAAACTCGTGGTGGATCAGAGCTGTTGCTAAAGCAAGACTGCCATCTTGTAGAGCTTGCTTTGCTCTATCGAATTCTACTTTGTATACTATCTAGAAATGAGAAGTGTATGACTTATTGCGGTTGAAATTCAAAACGGACATTAATTTCCGGACAACCTAATAGCATACTTTGCACAGCAAAGTATGCGAAAGTGAACATTTACAGAAATACAAGTAGAAACGTTGTCGAAAAAAGTTGTAGTTGTTATTAGCAGCGCGAATACTGTCATAATCTTCCGGCCTCATTCTCAGACACCTTCAATGCTGATATGTTACGTTGTTATGCGGCTACCGTCAATTACAGTAGATACAGTTTCGGTAAGAATTTAATTGAAGCTGAGTGTCTGTATAAATCGTTCGCTCGCCAATTTCACAAGGTATTTTAAACGGTTGGGTGGTTTGCGATAGTCTTGACTACTGACTTAACAATTTTATGTTGTTAATTTATCTCATAAATTAACAATTGTTGATTTATCTCATAAATGAACAACATAAAATCTGGAACGAAGGCAGAGTTTTTACCTCAAATCACAACCCTAGAGGGGAAAAGCGTGTTCAAAGCAAATCAAACTTCGTTTCACATCAACTCCAGACTAGACAAAAGTTCTGCACCAAAATATGAATAAGCGGTCTAGAATTTGTGGAATCGCGAATCTTGAGCGAACGCTGCCACAATCACTCTCAAAATCATTGAAAAGTTTGGCAAGGATGCATGCTACATTAATTCGAGATGTACAATACCGCTCAGAATGTGCAAAATTTCCGTGAATATCGCTGACTTTCGCGCAATTCCCGGAATTCCGCGACGTTCACGGAAATTTCGCACATTCTGTGAGCGGTAATGTAGCGTTGCAAAAAGCAGGGAATTCAATCTGCTCACACTAAAGCGGGCCAAGAAAAGAGAGGAAAGAAGAGAGCAAGGTACTAATAGGTCACCATATTTGCGGAGCAATACTGTTTGGGTAGTGCTTCTCAAGCAGTTTTTCGCTTAGGGTAGTCGATAAAGGAGAATGTGAAACGTGAAGTGAAGAAGCAAAAATGAAAAGTCTCTTAGAGGGGACAAGATGTGTGCAGCATTTGAAACTAGATAAGAAAGTGAAATTTTATGTCGTTTGATTTAACGACTCCGAAACCGTCATCAAGACTATCGAATTGCACTTCAATGTTTATTTGATGATTTTTTGGTCAGATAGTGAAATGAGTTGACGGCCACTAGTTACTATGCATGTGCTACCAAATACTACCAAAGGAGTTTATTCGCATGGAGAAATTACCTCTTGTCCGAACATAGCCTAGGTTTGATCAAAAAAGTATTCAACAAGAATGGAGGAATTAAAAGAGAAGTATAGTGGACACGGGCGACGGAGACAATACAGTGTAAGGTTCAGGTTCAAATTGCACGTTTTAGAAACCGCGGTCGATTTTTGATGACAGCGAATTTCGAACGATTTCTTACAGATCTTGGGAGCGAGTCGCTTCCAGGCGTTCACAATTTTTTTTGATTGTCTTTAGTTCTCGTTATTTGTGCTCTTTCTCTTCTCTCTCTCTCTTTCTCTCTCTGGAAAAAAAGCCAACAAAGCAGTAAATGTACAGTGGAAAATGAGCGCAAGCATATTTCAATCTTATGAATCAAATTTTTCATAGAAGATACAGTTATCAAATTCTTCGTCTGAAGAAATGGAAACGATAATCGAACTGGACAAAGTCTATATATTTTCTAAAGCTATCTTCTCAATCGTTTTCTTCTTTTTTTAGCAGAAAAAGCATATTGGATATCTCATCGTAAGTTTAAATATTGTATGAACTACAGAATTTCCAAAAAATGTATTGAACATTTGATTTTTGATAACTTTCTTACATGGAAACTTTCTTGGGTGACATACGGTAGAACTAGCTTTAGATTTACAGATCAAGCAAATTCCTTTTAGTTACTGCAGATTACGGTGGGAACTTTCGACATTAATTTTAGGCTCCTGACAGACGCGAATTGCTTCCAAAAAAATTCCAGAAAAACCGAAAGACTTCAAAACAACGGAATGGTCAGAAGTCGAAGTGGCCAATCCATACAAGCTGCACACCATTGAATGCAGTATGAAATGCTGACTCTAAGTCTGTCTTCTTTATCTGCAGAGCGCTTTTGTGGAAGAAATTATAAGCCGTTGAAAGCCATTATTTTAGTAAGAAATTGTGCATGTAAAATGCAAACTTGGCCGTACAAAGCCATCCTCGGCTCAGTGTTGGACCAAACATGCAACTAGGTTAGTTCATATGACCCGTACTAGATGTGAGCTGAAACAGCAATTATGTGCCTAATTTCACAATTTTTGTATACGGTTTTTTCGCAGTAAAGCTGCTCATAACTTCGCCTACAAAGGCGCTCTGCAGATATGGAAGGCAGATTTGAAATCAGCGTTGTATGCTGCATCGACTGGTATGCAGCTTTTGGAATGGCCACTTCGAATTCTGACCATTCCCTTGTAAGATCTTCGGAGATGATGAACCTAGCTAAAAGATTTACGTTCCTCGACTTCTTAGAGTATGCGCGCTGTAACGCTGAATTCTTGGCTTTTTCCGGTATCTAACGTTGCCTTTGTCAAACAAAGTTCAGTTGAAATTTGAAGACTGCTTCATCCTTTATTAACTGCAAATTACAAGTGCAACAAATCACAAAATCAATGTTCAAACACTACTAATGGTTTGATTTGGTTTGATTGATTGATTGATCAATCGTCGTGTTTGTAAC